TTTCTACAACTAGAACAATACTCTCTATTGACTCTATTCACATACAGATATTTTAGCAAATACAGAGTGAAACACAAATATAGCACACTTTAAGAAATTGCATTTGGAATTACGATAACCTAAATAAGACCTTTAATAGGGCTGTAAGTACAGGAAAAGTTACGTGCATGAACGAACGAGGAAAATATAATAGATAAGATCAGACAACATATTGCATGATTTAGTAATCGCTCTCACTCTTCATGGCTCAGCGGCTAGTCGGAGGACTCAAAAATAGGGTTTCGATACTGGCGGTGGACAGAGAACTGATAGCACATCGTGTAGTTTTGTGTTTAGCAACAAACAAACAACCCTGTCGCCCTCTACAGAACAGATAACCAAAAACTGCTTCTCCAAATCTTCAGAATTTCCTTTCATGAATGTTTCACAAAAACAGCACCACGTTTAAAAATTATTTATGAAAACACTATTTCTTTGTTCACAGGCTTTATTTATCAATCACTGGGATTACCCATGTTTGTAGCTGCATGTGTACTCTATATAGGCTTTACTCCAAAAGGTTGTATGTGTATTATAAGATATTTCTTTGGTGCTGACGAAATCATGGACATGTCTATTATATATTTTTCTTTGGAAAGAAGGAAGTCAATATTTCATGTATATTCAACTTCTTTCTTCTGACAGGACCTAACCAGAGGTGCTTGCATTTCCAATTGTTATGTCTTTGGACTGGATGTAGTCCGAGTTCTATTCATATACCTTGGATCGAAACGAAGCCACGGCTATATACGTATTTTAGGTTTTTTCTTTGTACCAGATTAACTCAGGGCTCCATATCTTTCAGAGCTTCTTTCTTGGGCTGGACGAAGTGAGGTTTGTATGTGTATTTTGGGGTTTTTGGACCGAAAGAAATCTGAGCTACATGTGCACACTAGGTTTTCTCACTGGACGGAATGAAGTCAGATCAGCAGTATATTCTAGGTAGGTTTTTATCTATTGACTGGATGAGTTCAAAGCACCATGTGTATTTTACCCTTTTTTTTCCATCTTAACCGAACGTAATCAGGGCTGCTGTCGTATCTAACTTTCTTTTATTTGGAGTGGATGAAGCCAGAGCTGAAAATTTATCCTACTTTTCTTCCTGTGTCCTGGGTGTAGCCAGATGAGTAAATTTCCTTTAGAATCGATGTAGTCAAGGCAACAAGCATTCTAGATGTTGCTCCTTTGGATCGAACAAGTTGTAGGGTTGTTTATTTTAGGGTTTCTTTTGAACTAGATGTAATGATGACTGCATACGTATTCTAGATTTATTTTCCTTTGAAATGAATAAGTAGTCAAGGTTGCAAGCATTCTAGATTTTATATTCCTTTGACTGGTTGAAGTCTCTTGCACGTATTACGTTTAGCTATAGCTTGTGAGTTATGTTTATATTTTAAGTGTTACTTTCATCATTGTATATTACGTTTGAAGAACATTGTGTTTTCGATTAATAAATTAGATGGCTCTTTATGAATTATTCAAAGGGTCAATTTTGACACAAGGTGAATATTTTTACGCTCTTATTCGTATGGTATAAAATTCATGTTCCATGCATTTGCAACGTGTATGATGAAAGCCTGTCATAAAGTGGGCTTTCCGGCTAATTAATTAGCATATACGAACAGTCTCTATCACAACTAATTAGCGTACCAGCTAAACAAGAGTTTTCCTATTTTAACATTCTTTAATTAATGAATTTAAAGAATGGGTGCTTATTTTGTTGTTAGCCGGCAGCGGGTTTAATATACGATACAAAAAATGTTAAGAACTTTTGCAGCAATACAAGAAGACCTAAAGTAAATCATAAAGTGTATTTTCATATCAGTAAATCGACACTTTATTTCACATCATGGTCCGGTTTTCGTTTTCGTTTGTATACATTTAATAATTATTCAGTTCCTATTTGTTATTCAGGAATAGAAAGCTTTCGTACAATAATGATGTATGTAGAGGGACAGACAGAGAGTCTGAAGATATTATAACTAACCTTGTGATTGACATGGCCTAGCTTCTGTAATCAGCAGCCTAATACCGATATATCTTTAAAAAACAACAATTTACAATTAATGAAGTGATGAGTGAAAAACATTTCACACATTAATGACGGTAAACAATGTTTACAGTCGCAGTGATTGGTAAGAAGTAATTTGGCTCCACAATGATGATGAAAAATACCGTGTTACTGTTGCTGTAATGGTGATGGAAATATTTCACTATTATTGAAGTGATGTGTGAATAACATTTAGCAATTGTCAAATTGGTGAAATAAGTAAAATTAAACTCAGTCACATTGATGTGCTATAAATGGTATTACAACTAAGAATCTAATGAATTAAATTCAGTTACATTGATATGGTATAAATGGCATTACAACTAAGAATCTAATGAATTAAACTCAGTCAGATTGATTAGCTCGGTTATGGAGTATAAAATTTCTTGAAGATTGGAACTAAAATTGCTCACTTTTTCACCACCATCTGGACTCTAACAATACTGAACAATACTTACACCTTTTGATCTCCTGAAGAAGAATAGCCAACTATTCGAAAGCGCTCGAGTTTTGGGTCTTATGTTAAGTCTAATACTAATGGAGCACATTGGTTTTTAAACGTATTTCTCTAAATTATTTATTTATCAATTTGTTTGTGGGTTCATGACTTTATTAGATACAGGGTCACTAATAAGATACGAATCACAAAAACATTTGAATAAAAATACCTTCAATATTGCAATTAATCCCACTAATTATTTCTGGGGTTCTCTTTGCGTTTTACACAGAAAATGAATGATTTCTTCCACTTTTTTTGGTTAGTTCCTCACACAGAATTTCGTAAAAACATAAAAACACTCATATGCTGCATATTACAGACCTCACCGGTAGTTAACGGTGTAAAACAAGTCTGTAGTTTGAGAGTTAATGCTATCAAAACGAACCTGAGAACTTGCTAGTTATACAATATTAAATGACATTATTTACAGCTGACATTCTGAATAACGTCAAACATTCAAGAATAGACACACCTTGACTTTACACGTATTTACTGTAAACACCGATAATAGTGGTTTATGTTGCGCTGACAATTCTGGTTTATTTACTTTTTATGAAATTATTATATCTTCAATCAAACTTCAAATCTTAACGTATCTAGAGGTAAGAAAAATAATAAAACAACGCTTCGTTTATTTAATTCCAAAGTTACGGGTGGTGGGTCAATAAATGTTTTCAACAAATGAAAATACAATGGATATCAGGCAAGCGATAACATTGTCTATATAGGGATGACCCAGGTTGTTCATCGAAATGGTATTTTAAATATCTTCTCAATAGGTCATCAAAACTTTACAATACTATACAGTGTTTTCTTTTATAACAATATCTATGTAATGACTGAGTCACAAGTTCCGGGAATGTCTGTAAATATCATAGTAAAAAGTTTAGAATTTATTGTTCTTCTTTCTTCCG